TGTCTGTCTGTCTGTCTGTCTGTCTGTCTGTCTGTCTGTCTGTCTGTCTGTCTGTAAATAAAACTGCAAACTGCAGCAAGGGTTAGTTGAATGGGGGACGAAGGGAGGGGAGGGAGGGGAGGGAGGGGGGGTAAAACGTTTCACTCCGTTTGCTACATCTGCGTTTATATTTGTTTGTTTCCTCAGTCTTAAAACGCTTCATCACCGTTATAATTCTTTCTGTGCTTACTCAGAGAGCCAAAGACTACGTGGAATCGCGCGAGGCGCAGCTGAGAGAGAGGGAGCGACAACTGTGTGCCCGGGAGTCTGTCACTGAACGTCTGGCTACGAGACTCGAACTCAAGGAACACAGACTGCAGGACGAGCTAACTCAGTGTGAAACAAAAATTAAGGTATGCCAATTACTCCTACATCAACATGTACTGTGTTACTGTTAATTGTGGTGCTGCTGCTACATGTACCATCATTACTGCAACAACTACCAGTACTGTTGCTAAAGCATTAGCTGCTGCTGCTGCTATTACTACTGCTGCTGCTGCTACTATTAAGTACTACTACTAAGTACAACTACTACTGCTGTAGTTGTAGTCTCGCCTTAGATCCTGGTTCTCTGGATCTAGGAAAAGACAGTGGAAACCTGATATAACAGGGATGATGGTGGGACCAGAGAAAAAGTCCTGTTATGTCAGATTCCTGTTAAATCCGAAATGCAAGGGAAGTAAGCATTTGTGGACTAATCCAGCTGTATTTATTCATGGGTAGTTTCCCTTTCCACAAGTTTCCACGAACAGCTCACCACAGCTCTCTTTCTTGGCCTTGTGGCAGGCCTGGCATGACACATCACGCGTGCGTGTAGCTAGTCTTAGGGCTAGATCGAATCTGTAGCACACAGAAGCCCTCTCTCGCTTCACCCGCTGCGTGTGCTTGCAGTGGTGTGGCTTGCAGCTCCATCACTGCGTTATTCTCTCTCTCTCGTCTCTCTCTCGTCTCTCTCTCTCTCTCTCTCTCTCTCTCTCTCTCTCTCTCTCTCTCTCTCTCTCTCTCTCGTCTCTCTCTCTCTCTCTCTCTCTCTCTCTCTCTCTCTCTCTCTCTCTTTCACACACACACCACTCACACTTTTTACACCTTGTTAACGAGCCTTTGTCCCTGCTAAAACCGATTGGGCTCCGTTGAGGCCCTGGTTATTGCCGATAATTTTTAATAGAGAGAGACAAAGAGTAGGAAAAACGGGGATTTTAAAAATCCCTGTTATCAACATAAAATTAATTTTAATTTTTCTGATTTACCGGGTAGTTAAAATTGAAGTTCAGATTAATAAACCAATGACAGAAATTAAAATAAATTGTAATGTAGCATACCTTTTTTCTTACCACAACGGAGCCTTACGGGATTTAGCTCTAGCAAAACTGTCAATTATTGGTTCGTAGTCCAATTTTCGTGCTAGACTGGCCTCTCTTGTCAAAATTCAAAGACTTGAGAGTCTGTCTTGACGCATTGTGGACCGCAGAATATTTTTTCACCCGAGAAAGGGTACTGAAGGAACGTTCAGCTTGCGCAACTGTGACAGGCAAGGTGCAGAAGATTCTCAACATGATTACAACGTTCGGAAACAAAGCATCCAGTTTCAGGGAATGAAGTCTGTTCAGCAACTGAAGAGGCGGCAGGACATTTTCTCCAATGTTCGCTGAATGAATCACTTTCAAATGTTCCAACTCTTGCGCAAGGTCTGCTGATGAATCCACTGCATATTCCGTGTGCAATTTGTTTGCAAGATCACGAATAACGCCGACTTCCTCATGGAGATATTTCCACAAAACACTAAATAACGAATCGAGTTTTGTTACTGCATTACACCTTGTCTTCAGATTTCCAAGAAGCTGTCAATGAGGACACAAAAAGCTTCATGTTTGAATTTGTTCTCGGGATTTTGGTAGTCTGTTAGTGTTACATCTTCTGCCTCGTCTGCAAAAAACTTCCTTTTCTTTTGTTATTTTGCCGTTTCAGCAAATGAATGTTCAATCTCATAGTTATCTGCTACTAATTTGGACTCACTCAAGATTGCGTCCCATTCATCTCGTAAGCTTTTCAGATATTTATTAATCACATTTGCCACCCCAACGTCAAGAGTTGCTTCTCGTGCTTGAAGCACTCTATTTCTGTGATCGATTGCTGTGAGGATTTTGAGCCAAACAGATGTCATTATAACACATTCAAACGATGCAAAGTACATTAGAATACCAATCAAATCTGAACATCTTTCTGGGGGGAGGTTCATTAAAAGAACAGTTTGAACAGCTTTCTTCAGTCCCCCGATGTGAGCCGCATAAGGCCCGACACTGTCAACACATGCTGACAACGTGTCTGAGACATACTGTGCAAAGAGCTGGGAATGTTTTGCTTCAAAATTTCCAACCTTTGTGGACTGGAGCTAAAAATGTTATACAGCTTCTGTACAACTCCAAAGAAAGTTATGACTGTTGAACAGCTTTCTGCAGAATGCTCACCACACAAATTCAAACTCTGACAGCCACAGGGAGAGTATGTGGCAAGTGAACACTGTCTTAAAACGTGAGCCTGTGCACCATTATACAGACCACACGTGTCGCTACTGTTGTCGTAGCCTTGGTCTCGGCTGTCTGTAATGGGAATGTTGTTGTTTTTATTCAGTGTATCAAGGATAATTTTAGCGACGTCTTCTCCTGTTCTCTTGTTATAATCTACACATTTCAGAAATCTCTCTTCTTCTACTTTGTAGACATTTGTATCACTGTCCAAGTGAACATAACGCAAAATAAAACAGTTTGTTCGACGTGTGAAGAGTCTGGTGTTGCATCAACGATAGTAGAGTAGGTAATATTTCGTTCCGTTCTTTCATTCAAAATCACGTCTGTCACTTTTGATGCACAGCATTGGATGAATTCATTTTGACTTTCTGGTGATAGATAGTGAACTTGTAGGCGCTTTTTTCTTTTTGTGATTTTTCAACTTTTGTAAGATGCTCTGCTAGGAGAGGATCGTAATGTCCAATCAATTCCAGAAGTCCAAGAAAGCACTACCAAAGTTCTGTGAAGTGGTCAGATATACAGCGGGGGGCTCTCGTGGCCTAGACGTTAAGGTGTTGGCCTCTCATTCAAAGGTCCCCGGTTCGAATCCGGGTAGCGACCGAAACATTTTCTTCTCTAAAATTGTCTCATTTCACCTCCTTTCCTGCTCTCTGGCAATATTCTGTCGTCTGCTTTCGTCTCCTCTTTCTGCCCCCACCCCCTCACCTCCTTTGCCCCCCCCCCCTCTGGGCTCCTGACTCTTTCTGCAGCCTTCCTACTGCTATTCCTTGACTCCTTCTTACTGCAGTCTTTCAGCCACACCCCTGATCTTCTGGTAGGAAAGATCTACACCTAGCCTTCTCGGACAAGGGCGAAAAATCTCGGAGGGCCCGTGAGCAATTTGCGCACGTTAAAGATCCCTTGGTGGTCTAAAATCGAGAAGAGTAGCCGGCCGCCACCCGGGCAAAATTCAAAATTTCCTACCAACTAAAAGTACGTATGTATTAGTGTCCCGCGCGCTCATATGACCTTATGCAGTTGTGAGCGCCGTAAAACACTTTTAAGAAAAAATAAATATATACAGCTCAACTTGCAGCCAAAATATATTTTATTTCAAAGCTTTGTACGGTACTCTCTCTCTCTCCCCATCTCTCTCTCTTTTTTCCCCCCTTGCTTGCGGGCCCCCCCAAACCCCCGGGCCTTGGGGCATTGGCCCCCCCTGACCCCCCCTCTCGACAGGCCTGCTCATGTTCAGGCCCAACACAGGTCAATTAATGGTCTCCCTCAAGGCTGACGTAGGTCTCCCTTTTTTCTCACCCAAAATCTATTGAACTGACGTGAGCCCAGGTAGGTTTATGACTTATTGCAAGCAAGGAGTGTTCAACCTTGATGACCAATCACAGTGGCATGAGGCATGACATTTCCACTAATATTGTCCTATCGTGAGTCTCAAGACTATGCATCCAGTTGTCCTCCCATTTTTACCGGTCCAAAATTAATAGTGCTTCATCTCAGACTCTGACCGAGTTCCTTCGCCTTTGTCGTAACGGTTCGTTGTGTTGTGGCCACACCAGTTGAAGTCCAGCATGTGAGCAAATTCGGGAGTAGAGACAACAACTGCTGCAATGGTCAGGAAAAGTTCACAGTCCGATGCATGGCGTACCGATTTAATTTCAGTAAGCCGTGGTCCGATCAACCCTCTCTGGTCCGATGTGATCCCGCCTGGAGCGAACCGGTGGGCCCTATCCACCCAGCGTGTAACGTGTGGGGAGCTCTCTACGAGTGCGATGTATAGGGGAAAAGAACGCGTCGGCGAGTTCACAGCTACCGTCTTCGGCAAACTCTGTACCGTTTCATCGAGATTTACAATGGAGCTGTGATCACATTCCCGAGAGTGGCTGATCTGTGACCCAATAGGCAGCTACTACTACTGCTGCTGCGGTTTTGTTCAACGCCGCAGAGCTCTCGACTTTTCGGACAGGAATCAGTTTGTGCTAATGTGAACGGTTGTTTTTTTCCTGCGTGAGATGCAGACAAACAAGATTGATTCCCTCTGGCACGCACACACACATCTCACAGGTGCATAAAAACAGAATCCAGATGCGTGTTTGTCTAGGGCAGAATCAAAAGACAGTCGAATCAACTGATTAACTGAATGAGAATCTCTCTCTCTCTCTCTCTCTCGAAGATTGAAGAATAACGGACCAATCGTACATTATTGCGCGAGAATGTCGGGTAGGTAGGGCGGGTTGTTGGGGTGGAGGAGGGGGGGGGGGTTCCTAAGGTTGAGACATAGGCAAACTCAGTCCGCTATTCTTCAATCTTACCTCTCTCTCTCTCTGCCCCCCCCCCCCTTCCTCCCGCCCTCAACATTGCATTTGTCATATTTTGTTGTCTCGTGGGTGTAGGGCTTATGCAACTGCCGCCTAAAAGTAAAAGAGGAATTTATTAGTTTGCGAACACTCGATATTTATTTGTCCACGCACGTCGGGCTGTTCTTTCTTTCTTGATATTGCTGTTACTCAGTTACGCTTTATTTTAAAAAAATATTTTAATTATTTATGCTCTTTTTTGCAGTTATGTAAACTTCTATCTGCCCTATTTCAAACCTAATTCTGTTCCGCCCTTTTGAAGTAGGCCTACAGTCCTGCGCTGATCTTGATTTACTTTGTTTTGCAATAAATGGTTTAAAAAATTTTTGTTGTCTTTTTCTTCTTTTTTTTTCTACTTCTTTTACTTTTTGATAGCACTGGGATGAAAACAAACAAACAAAAAAAACCCATATTATTCTCTGAGTATTTCAGCGTTTCTAATGTTAGTCTATCTTTGTTTGTAATGCAGGTGATTTTTCGTCTTGTAAAAGTAAAAGGAGTGTTAGTAGAAAATCTCTTACCATTACACAATTACACAAGACAAACTAACACTGAACAATTAGTTAAAGAGAAAACTTCATTCTTTTACCAGGAGTACGAGAGTCGAAGGTTGGAATTGGAGCGGGAGTTTGCTGACCGTGAAGAGGAGATGACATGTCGTCTAGTGGACAAAGAGGAAGAGCTTGCAAAAGAAGTTGCCGAACTGAGGGAGGAGAAGGACAAGTTTCAAGAGGAACTCAAGGTATGGTATTATTATTACTATTGCGTGTATGACTGATCACGTCCCCCTGATACAAATTACAAGTAGTAGTTCTTGGTAGTTTAAATCAATTGCATAATTTCAGAATTTTTCTTGCATAAAACGACGGGGACAGGTACATGTATATTCTGTGTCTTGTCGGCTGAATTTTTTTTGCTACAACAGCATGGCTGAACATTAGCTTTTATGCATGAAATAAAACACTTTTAAATGGGCGTTTAACTTTTTAAGTAAGTGGGACGAAATATACTTTTTTTCCGCTGTATGCCCATAAAGAAGAAGCCTTCACTATCAATATAAGTGTATTTGCCAATGATTTTATATTATTGTTGGCCTACATAATGTACTGGTATTACACTATTATTATTCTTACTTACAACGACTTACCATGAATTAATTGACTGTCTATTTTTTCCTCCAGAGAATGGCTGAGTTACACCAAGTACAGGAGAGTCGAATAAAGCTGGATATTGGAGGGCAGCAGTTCACAACCTCACTGCTCACGCTCGGTCGAGATCCAAACTCCATGTTATCGGCAATGTTTAGGTGAGTAAATTCATCCTCTCACTTTCTCTTTTTATTCTCTCTATCGCCTCCCCCCCCCACCCTTTTTTGCACTTTCAGTCCTCTGGGGAAGGCAACATTGCAGGCCTTTTGATTTATCAGTTTAGTATCTCTCTCACAGTGCGCACACCTGTGTTTTTGTGCACACTTGTGTGATCTATGCTTCAATTATGGGTATATATATATATATGTACGTTAATATTTCTGTGCCTCTTTCCCTATATTCTTCCAACGTCGCTCGCAGTCAGTCACCGAGTGAAAAAAAGCTGATACAGTACTGTCAAACAAATTTATAAAGAATCAGCAAATGAACGAACTAAGTTCGAGTAAACATGGAACAAACAGACAGAAAGAAAAAGAAAAGGATTAAGTGGGTATTGATGAAAAATGGAGTCGCATTTCAACTCTGAAGTGAAGGAGGTTGCGTGGACATGTATGGAATAGAGGTCGTCAAGTCATCAATTTGTACACACACATGTGTTTATCTTGTACCATCTATTGGATGTAGTGGTGCCATAGCGGCCTGGAAACTAGCTTCCTTCAGTTCAGATCTCTCCGTTCTTTAACTCCATTGGTGCGTGCAGATTAATGCTTATAATTATAATAATATAATGAGGAGTCCTTCTATATTTTTGAGTGATCACTTGTGACATTGTCTTTGAATAGTAGGGTATGATGATCCTGGTTGGGACGGTATGGTAAGGCATCATGTGGTTTTCTGTGGTATGATGTGTTGTTGTATGCAGGAGCGCAATTTGGTACATGTATTGAACAGTATAGTGGAAATGTCATCATAGGGTGTGGTATGGTAGGAGTTTAATGTCCTTGGGATTGGAACATATTAAGGTTATCAAAAAGGCAGTTTCAATCTGTGATGAAACTGAGCCAAGAGGGCAGAGAGGCACAGAACCTGCAAATATAACCTAATAAAATATATTGGGACAATCTTCATCTGAGAACAGAACTCTCTTAAAAGTTTGTGAAGTAGAATATTACTTGTAATACAGGCATTGTCAGAAAAACTCCAGGTCTGAGAGTTAATATTAATGCAATAACTAATATGAGTTTTGTTATTAAAATCTCATACTTTATGCACATCTCCTCAGTGGCCGCCATGACCTGAAAGCTGAGAGTGACGGAAGTTACTTCATTGACCGGGATGGCACACACTTCAGGCATGTGCTCAACTACCTGCGCGATGGCTGTGTGCGTGAGGGCACATTGCCCCACAACGACACCGTGTGGCGGGAGCTGCTCACAGAGGCAGAGTTCTTCCAGCTGCAGGATTTGGCAGACTTCTTAAGGGAACTGCTGGCTCGTCGGGACTCAGGCTGAAGGAAGGGGAGACAGCGCAACAGATAGGGCGACATCTGATTCAATCGTATGGATGGAACTATGACATACATGCTTTTGTTGAGTGAGGGCAGATAAAACAATGAACATAACAGCAGATTTCATTGCTGGGCAGAAAAGATAAACACATTCTAGTTGAGGGAAATAAGACCTAAAAGTGGACACAACATCATATTAACATTTTGACCGAGCAGAGAGTGGGCAAAAGAATGAACAATATCAGATTCTATTACTTTTATTGAGCAAAGAACCCCCCTCCCTCCAAAAAATCCCTAAAAACAACAAACAACCCAGTGACTTTGACTGAGAAAGCATAAACAAATGCTCACACATAAACTGCAAGGCTTGCCATTTTCTTTCTTTAATTAATACTGGGATGAGAGGTCACACAATGAACATGGCATCTAATGCCAAAATGAATTCACACGCTCACCCTCTGCCTCACTCGCATGCACATGTTGGGGTACATACACCCTCATATGAAAACTGCCATCTCACGGACAACTGATGTACGCAAAGTTGTCAGGAACAACCAGACACCAAAAATGCCACCAGAATGGCTACTAAAATATATCCTGTTCATTCACTTTGGATGAATCAAAGGGCTGTATTCTTACATGTGATTCTATGTGTGTTGAGAAACATGCATGAACTACATGAACATGTTTTTATGATTTTGATATATCGCTGTCAACAGCACCAAAGTGTATTAACTATTAAACCTGTGTGGTGCAAGTAGCACATATATTATATTTGATCTCCTCTTTTCACCTTTGGCTCCTGTTCCTACTTCTGTGTGACACATCGTGATCCCCACCCCTTCCCCTCCCCAAACAACCTGGCCCACTGCTGTTCACCAGCAGGAGATTCCACCCCTCTGATGAAGAATAAAAGAATAGTAACATCATGGACCACAGTCAAAAGGTGTCTTTTGTTCGATAGAAGATTACCTTTTTATCAGTCCAACTCTGGTAATGATTCATGTTTTCTTTCATGGCAAGCTGTTAGACTTAGACATCCTACTATTTCATGTCTCAGATTATTGTTTGTGTTGACATTTTAGGGAAACTTGAAATAGCCAAACTGTGGCCATTCAGTGCTTTCAAATACATATGTACAAAGTTGATGGCACAAGCTTTTGTCCTAAAAACCAGTGTCCCCAACCATCTCTGTCACACAGACACAAAGCAACAACAGTTGCAAGTTTTATGCTTTTTATTCCCAAAGGGGTTGGGCTGGGGGGAACAATGGCATGACCTTTTAGTTTTGCAGGGTTTAATTTTTCTTTTCTTTAAAACTGTTGGCTGAACTCTCAAACTGATACTTGGGAGATTTCAACTGTTGCCCAAAGAAATTAAAATGTTGCTGTTTCAAATTATTACAGACTTGTATGTGTGTTTTTTTTTCATTTTCATGCATTGAAAACATTTGACTCACAAGTGTTGTCTCCTTATAATCAACAGAAGTGCAAAATGAGACAGACCAAAGGTTTCTGTATGAAGTGGAACGCATGTCAGTTGATTGATTCACATAGTTATGACATGTAAATGCTTGGATCTGATACTTTTTCAACATAAGAACAAAGAGATAATATATTTCGTTTAAAAAATAATGGCAGTCACACTGAGCACACTAACTATTCAAATTCCAATCAAACTGCTGATCACCTAATCTCTCAAAATGCTCGTCAAACCATTCAAAAACTGATCTGAGACACATTCATGGGTCTCATTCAGAAAAATATGATCATTTTATCTACATAAGGGAACGCTTCTGGACTTCCTGAGCATACATATTTGACTTTACTTGACATTTTCTTCAACCCTCTTTCAGCTACCAGCTCATTACGATGTGACTTCACACTTTATACATTACTGCGTGAGGACAAGACAGTAGCAAAAGAGGTGCTGAAGAACATGTGATGAGAAATGGAAGTATAGCCTAGATGTTCATCTAACAAAAAAATTTATAATACATGTACTGGATCGATACTAACATGAATGATATAGTAAAAGTTCATGAAGTGGGCTGTTGGCAGGTGCCTCCATTTTGAGTCCTTTTTCTGGGCATCCAGATCTGACTGCCTTCACGGATGTGCTTTCTCACATGCACATGATTAAACAGTTTACAGTGCTGTAGAGCCCCATCATCAATTGAAACTACATACTACATGTAACAGACAAAAAAATAATGCGTATGGTACATGGATAATTTTGAAGAAAGAGAGCCACCTAAAATTTGTTTCTAGCATGGGTTCTGTGAATAGGCCTACCTACTGAGAGTATTTAACACCTCCAAGTAGAACTCATTTGCGAAAACCAATGGAACAAAAATGGCATTTTTTGTAAGTATGTGCAACAGAGGCAGGGGGATGTGGTGCAAAAATTAGATGCTCAGAAAAGACAGTTTCAGAATTTCTCCCTAAAGTAGACGCTCCTTTATAAATTTCACTTTACAGTACACATTTGAAATTGCCTTTGGAAAACTCTTGCCAATTTTTATGTTTGTACTTGAAAAACCTGATGGGGATAAGAATAAAACAAATAAGAAAATACTTGAGTTGAAGTAGTTATTTATTGACAAGTCAAGGTTTATGCATTAGACATCACAGTTCTCTGCCGACCCCTCAATTTCAGATACTTACTTCTCTGTGGCAACAGCTTTGGACATCTTGTCCCCCCCCCTCCTGGACAAATATCAATGCCATTTACTACTCTAGTTGACAAGACTGACATACTTTCAAAACTTTTTTCTCTCTACATTTTACAAAATACTTGACAAAGCAAGCCACGATCTTCCATGAAAAAATAGACCATTATACAAAGCTTTACACAATATCATATTCATGCACTCCTTATAAAATTCATGTTATTCAACAGTACTTGCATCTCAAGAGTTGAAAATTACATGTGGATTCACAAGGCTAAACATGATTATCATTTGAATTTTTACTCCTACTCACAAGAATAGGAAAGTTTCACTACAAATCATGAAACTTATGACAATGTCCTTTGCTGTTTTCTTTGGCGAGAAAGTCACCCAGGTGGTAGGCCTACTTAACATCTATCCACTGTGTTGGATACAACAGAGGGTTAGTCCACAGGAGATTTGACAGACAGAACCAAAGTCATCACACTTTACTTTTCTGATCCAGCGGCCATTTGAGTTTTAGCCCTTCGGCCTGTAAAGTCTTCACACAAAACAGTTATCATAAAGATGTCTGCAGGCCACATCTCAGGCTGGATGGGGACATGGAGTAAATGACCAGTTAAAAAATGCGACAGTGACTTCCTTGTCTCAGTCTGAGTCAGAATCTGAAGAACTGCTTTCCGAAGATGCCTCTTGTGCCAGACCCTGAAGGTAATTCCTGTGAAAAAAAGTAATCTTGCTTTAAATATTCTGTGCATATACATAAAATGTATAAATTTAGTAACTGAAACAAGTTTTCCTTCCGAGACAAAGAGAACTTGAAGAGCAGAAGTGTTTGTTTTCCCTCAAAATGGTCAGTTCTTAGCAATATCAGAGAAAAAATTTAATGATATATGGGTCTTAAATACAACAAGCAATTTAAAGCTGGTGGATGTAATGTTACTGCTAAAAAAGAGGCAGGGATGCAATGGGATGCCAAGACTGGCGAAACCATGTCAATTAACTTCACTTTGCTGCATTCAGTTTGTGCTTTAATTTAACCCAAGGAGAGACAATGTTAGTACAAGAGAGTTAAACATTTCTTTTATACATACCTGCAAACAAACAGACAAATGACAAGCTATGCTATTGATGTGTTAAGGTACATGACTTTAATATCAAATGACAAAATACACTTTAAGCACACGAACTTTAAACAAGCAGTCTTCAACTTTAAACAGCCCAAGGCAATTTGCGATATGTTGTAGAAAAGAAAAACACATAGGCTGCAGAGACAGTTCAATACCAAACTTGAATACAGGCAGCAAATTGGAAACCTGATGTTGCCTTTGTGTGTTAAAGTAATCCGTACTTTGCTTTCTGACTAGGCATAGATCGAAAGTACATGTAAACATAAAGGTGCTCACCTCTCCTGGTCTGACAGTTCTGTTGACTTTAACACTTGTTCAACCAGTCCAGGAACGTTACTGCTGTCTGTGCTGAGCATCATGGTGAGCAATTCCTGCCAAATCAGTACATTAATGAGTACACGTGGGACCATCACTTTGTATTGAAACCTGTTACTGGTACAGAATAACAGAGAGCATTCAACCTATAGACTTCTTGGCTCTGATACCTATCGGAGTGGTTTAGGATATTGAGTGGAAGAGAAGCACACCAACATTTACCAATATGAGTAAGTTATATTACAAATGTCTGAGAGCGAATGAGTGAAAGAATGCTGAAACAGTGGAGGAGTCAGAGGCAGATAACAATAGATTGTTCTTTGTAATTCGAGAAGGTGGTGGGAGGAGGAGTAGTATGAGGATGAGACTGAGAGAAAGAGAGATAGAGAGAAAAAGGCAGTTGGTCTAAGCAGTAGATTATAGTGATTCATGAACCCACACTGCGACTTCCCTCTCCCCCTTAAAATTCTTTAATGTGGAGGCATAAGTGTTTGTAAGCATTATGAAAAAAAAAAAAAAATATGAGTACCAGTTCTGTGAATGAGTCAGTCAGGTTAAAATGTTCAGTGAGTATTCAATGTGCCACCTTATATCTAAATCTTTTTGTGTAACTATAATGGTTGATAGTTGGCCCTACAACAGGAATTATTATAATAGAGTTCAGTTGTTCCTCAGTCTAGAAGTATAAAACTCGACAACAAAAAGTGCCATGCACAGAGAGTGTGCAGGAGCAACAGCTAGATGAAGATTGGTAGTGCACAAATAGAAATGACATTGCATACATACATGAGGGTGACATAGAATGTTAAACAGAAAATGAAAAGTTCAGAACAAGCCTGATTCCAAGAACTTCGGCAATATCTACTATATGCAAAAATAACTTATATCCTTACCCCTGTTGATTTGTAGTCCTTCACAGCTATGGAATGCTCTGTCAGTTTTGTCAATGACTCCACCCTGAAGAGCAAGGATTTTGAAAATAATGTTATATATGTATAACAAAAACTTATGAAACAACAACAATGTGTAAGCATTCAACTGGAAACTTTCACACCGCAGTAGAAACAAACATTTGAGAAAAAAAAACCCACTCCAAAAACGACATTATAAAGACTCTATTGCGATACTTTCAGCAGTAAAAAAAGTGAGGAACTAAATGATCAGAAATTTACATTCTAAAACAATTTCTCTGTTTAGAGGTGAGTTTTATAAATGGAACAAGCAATATAACCATTACAGGTGACATAAAATATGAAGTAAATTTTTTATTTTTATTGGCCAACCAGAAATGCATATATTGAGTTAACCTTTTTGATACACGCAGATACCAACTAAATTGTGATAGTTGGCCCTTGCATGTGGGTTGTGTGTCTCGCAAGTATTGTGTTCACATCACTGAACAAAATTAGCTGGGCTGGTTCCCGTTTTATTTCTATGAATGCCAATCAAATTGCTTCAGTTAGTCTTTGTGGATGGGGCATGGGATTCCTGTCGATGTTGGGTATATAAAACACTGCACTTCTTTGGGGCAACCTGCAACTCTGATCTAAGTTTATGAGGAAAGGGCATCTAACTCAAAAATACAAAAAAAATCCTAGGTCCTCTGTGCATGTTGCATATATCATACACACTGTGGCAGTTGGAAATCATTCAAGAGCTGGCTTTCCCAGACCAGAAGTTCAGGAAAAATTAAAGATAAGCCCCAACCCAAAAATGAAGAAACTCTCATAGAATATAAGTAAGAGAACCTTCTACAAATTAGCAAAGGCATACCATCCCTGAAAATAGAGGGCAAAAATGGGCTGCTTATGAAACATTCGTCTACAAGGGTATATGAAATGCACACATTTCAGCTTACCCTGGCTCAGCCTGATGCAGGCTTTTGTCATCGAGGTATAGTCTGAAAGCACTCCTGAAATGAAATGGAAAAACAAAAACAAAAATGAATTTTGCAACTGCATTCATTTACAACAATGACGTAAGCTCGAAATGAAAATTATTCACATCAATTAATCCTCTATCTAAAGATATTTTGTGAATAGAGAAAATGAATGTCTGCTGTAAATGCCTAATAATCACAAACAAAAACCTAAAAATCTTACTACGATAACAAATGAGAAGCAAAAAAATAGTGTAAATAAAGTAATTAATAAAACGATGGCTTGCTTTAGGTCAATATGTAACAGTGCCAAACTTGCATCTCAATTCAAGCGGGTTGAATGGCCTTTGTATCACGACGAGCGTCAAGAAAAGGACAAAAATTACACTGAAATTTTTTTTGAAAAGGAACAGACAAACAGTAGAACATTTGTCAAACTTGGGCACTTAACTCATATGACTTGAAGAATACACCACAAACTGAACATTAATACCCCAAGCTTGAAAGTTTTAAGACTCATAAGGCCATTTCATTAACGGGAGGAGCTACCCGTGAGGACCATTTTCTGAATTTTTTGCCCGAGATCAAATCTCAGTAGTTAGGCATAGTAAAATCTCTTGATATGAAATTTTATTTTGGCATAGCTATAGCGGTTGCTATGGAAACGGCCGCAATCTTGAAAATAAACAATGAATCCCGAAGGCTTTCTCACTTACTGACCAATTTTGACCAAATTTGGTGAGAACATACCTGAACAAGACTTTATCATCGTAACAGTGAATTTTTTTCAATAAGTGCAATAAAAAAAAAAAGAAGAGAATTTTCCTAAAGTATAAAAAACCTTTGTTAAATTTAGTTGCGTAATCGCTTGCCAATGGAAAAGTCTTATTTTTTCCGCAAATATCTCTCTGTATCATTGATGGCAGCCTTGCCATCTATGTTCCCTGAAAGTTTCATGTCAAAATGATGAAAACTGAGGAAGGAGTAAGGAAAAAACAGCAAAAAAAAAAAGACATTTTGCGAAAAACGACAATTATTGTGATAATTCACAATATTAACCCATCCTCATGTTCTCAAAGGCAACTTACAAGGAGAATAAAGACTTTCTCAATTGTCTCCATGCTATTTCTAGACAAAAAACTGGTTGATCTTAAAAAATCAGCCAACATCTCAATATGCATAGCCTGACCCAAAATCTGCAAAATCAAGGGTCGTTCCTCCCCTTAAAGACTTCAAATAAACTCTTGAAACTTACATTGCTTTCTTGGGTTCATTGTTGTTGATATAAATCAGTATCATGTCTCCTATCACAGAGCCATCAAGCCTGGAAGATTTAAAAAAAAATAAAAAAATTGATAGCACATGTATTTAATGAAGACATATCTGAGGAGAAAGCTCTTTCTAATGGAATATCAGTTAATGCGAAATGTATATTTTAGTGAAAAAACAAAATTAGTTTAAATCAAAATATTTATTCCACTTGAACCCTTTAAAAAAATCTTCCAGCTGAACAGAAAATATGAGATAAATTGCTGTACAGACTAACAGTTTTACATCTCTCGAAAACTCCGGTCCCAGTTTGCACAAGGGCGGACTTAAGAAAACAAATATTACGGGTAGATCCAGGAGTTGAACCCATGACCCCCTCAGTGACAAAAATATGTACCACAAGCCATTTGTCATACATCTTGACACTTACCCAATGTTGTCTCTTCTCTCTCTGTTCTGCTCCCAGCTCTCAAGCAAAGTGGATGTTATGTCACTAAACTGTTGCTGCAGCTGTATAAAATGAAAAACGGTTTAGAGTTTCAGGGAGATACTCCTTGGGTGATTTTGAACACAGGGATTTGAAAAAAACAACAACGTAATGTAACAGACACTTAATGTGAAAACTTACAGACATTTTCAAGCAATCATAGTGTTACTAAGACACATGTAGGAGTACAGAGTGTAGTTGGTATTAACAATACTTATGGAAATGTAATTGAATTTTTTTTTAAAAGAGAAAATATTTGTCACCACCTCATCATATAAATGCTATCATTTAAACAACAATTATCAGTCACTGAGACAAATCTGAAGAGTAAAAAGACCAGGAGCTTAGACAAAGTGCAGAAATACTCCATGAAAGAGTCATCGTCCCTGAATAGACATAATTATTCCCTCACAAACTTTCCTACCTCTTGGCTGTGTTTCTGAGTTGCCATGGCATGGACAAAGGGCCCTAGCATCTCTGTATCCTTGAACTGACTGGTCCAGAACAAGTCTGTGGAGAAATAGGATGACAATTTCAAGAAAATAATACCATGTCTGTTGCAGTCCAGCATTGAAATGGTCCCATACTATAAGAATATCTTTACTTACGTATAAAATGGCGTGCTTTGAATAACGTGATATAGTTGCTCCTGAAAGCAATGTTTAACAAGAAATAGTCTCATCACAAGGCAACAAAATAAATGTCCCCCACAGTGAATGAGTCATAAGATGCATGTCTTGGCAGGTGAAAAGCTGCCCATGTCTACCATACAACATTTAAAGTATTTCTATTTATTTTCCTATTTATCGAGAGGGAGAGGGAGAGAGAGAGAGAGAGAGAGAGGGAGGGAGAGAAAAGAGAGAGAGAGAGAGAGAGAAGAGAGAGAGAGAGAGAGAGAGAGAGAGAGAGAGAAAGAGAGAGAGAAAGGAATGACCCCCTTTACTGTTTTCTAAACTGTTCAGATTTTTAAAAAATGGCTGGACTGTAATTTCAACCCTGCGCATAACATAGTGGAGCTTTTTTAAATTAATAGGTAGCTCTCATGCATTTTTTGTGCTTGAGACAGGTTAAAAACATAACCAAACTTCTCCTGTTTAACCATAACTCACCTGCAAAGAGTTGAGGGAGGTAATGATGCGTGTCATGCATCTCTATATTTTCCAGAATGAGGCGATAAGTGTCAGATGATGGTAAGAAAATCTGAAAAAAAATTAACGTGTTTCACTACACAGCACAGGCAAGAAATCATAGCAGAAACAGGGAAAAAGAGAGAGGACGATCCATGAAGTAACTTGTGACAAGATTATGTAATGAAATAGCCAGTAAAGAGAAACAAAAAACAGCCACATGAAAAAAAGACATAGATGGAGCAGATGTGAAGCACACAGACACGGAAGTGTTGTATGCACTGCTAGAGACCATGAGGTAGAGTTCTTGGACTACAACCAAGGAAGGAAACCATTTTGAAATACAGTCGAACCTGGGTAAGACGGCCACCCATTGTCATGGAGAAAAGTGGCCGTATAAGACAGGTGGCCTTCTTAGGCAGGACTGATCAAGATGAAAAAAACAAACCATTTCTTTCTGAGGTCCCAACCGAAGGTAGCCGCATTGTTGTTGTTGTTGTTTTTGTTGTTGTTGTTGCTGTTAATTTCGTTGGTTTTTTTTTTCTTTCTTTAATTTCTCTTCTGTTGCTGCTTTTGTGGAAGGGTGACAATAAAACGAAATGTGTCAGACAAGGACCGAGTGCTATAGTGAAACAAACACATGGGTCGCCACCACTCGGAGAACGAGCGACGTTTCTGTCACATTGTTACAGACTGGGTAAACAGTGACCATTCATCTCACTTACGATTTGTGTATGAGTTTTGGGCAGGGTTTATGGGTAATGAGGGATCACACGCTTACCTTTTCAGCAGGTGAAAATTTGTTATCTATTGGTCAATAGCAGGAGTGGCCTACGCAACATGATCGGTTTGTGGGACTACCTTACAACAATGACAGGTGATTGAATTATGACGGCTCGCCAGGGGCCAATGCTTTATTTATGACAAAACACAATGGAGCCACTAAGGTGGCCGTCTAAGACAGGTGTTATTGTTCGGTGTGATAGGGGTTGTGGGTTAAAATATGGTGGCCGTGGCGGACAGGTGTCCGTTTTACACAGTTAAATTATATAGAAAAAAATGCAGGGGGGGAAATGGAAAGAGTCCGTTTGTACAGGTGGCTGTCAGGTCAGGTTCGACTGTATCTACCAGGCACCCCGTTAAATGGACCTTTCTATTTTCAATGAATATCTGCCTATTAGACATAGTCATGTTTATTAAAGGCAGACTAGTCTCAGTCCCTTGTCAGAAAATAGAACTCAGAGGAAAATTATTTCACTAAAAACAAGAAAAATTCAGACGTCCTGATGCATCATTGGGGCAAGGACAACAGAAGTATCTACTAAAGGAATCAATCAAACCAATAGTTGGAAACTGAATTAAGAGAACTTGCATTTTCCTTTAGAACATGGCAACAAATAAACACAGGGGTAGACTTACATAAGGAGCAATACTCTGGTAGAGATCCATCACAACATCTGTGTGCTCCAGAGGGGTTACAACAGACAGCAGCTCTTTGCTGTTGATGTATATACAAAAACAACAGTTGATAGCCTTCAACAAATATTGCTACATAACTATTTGAACTTTTTACTTTTACTTTTATCCGCCGTTTATACCCTTTTGGGTGTCGCGGGAAGAAAGAGACGTCTCTCTGTTGCCAGCCGGAGAGCTTGGGTCAGGGGAATGCCGAGGGTGGTTAATGTTTCCCTGACTCCATCTATCCAGGTCTTTTTAGGTTGCCCTCTAGCCTTGTTGCCATCAAATTTTTTGAATAGGCACGTTGTGCTGGATGGTGTATTGGTAATCGCATGAGATGTAGTAATCCCTTACTTTGTCCAGTTTCCACCTCCCGGGATGTGGACCTAGGGTTGGGCTTTGGGAGGCAACTATTTGAACAGGGTAAAAACTAAATTGGTGTTTCTTTCTCTCTGTCTCTGTATACTGAATCTTTAGCACGTAACATCAAATACAGCTTTCCAGACTCCTGACTTGCTTAATTCACAAACATTTTTAATCAGGCAAATAGAGCAAACTTCAGCCCTCGCTTGATGACAACTTGTTGCTTAGAGTCAACAATATTGTGGGACGGCTAGAAAGCATCCCCCCCCCCCCCCAACAACAACAACCCCAAAAACAAACAACAACATAAAAGCAGTAGACAAACACTTGTCCATTGTTAGAAAAGCCAAAACAAAGGACAATGTTTATCCAAAGAAGGACAGAACTTTGAAGTTACCACAGCTATATTTGTTAAACATATCTATGCACCTTTAAACAGAAAATACAAATTCACTACTTACTAGTAGGTAAAAACTAACTGCCTGTGCCCCAGAGCTTTACTGTTCTGGCCAAATTTCAAAATTCTGTGCAATTTCAAGGCAAGCTTGGAGTCAGGAAAGAAAGTTGCAATCTGAAAGCAGAAAGAGCAAAAAGTTAGCACGACTTACACATTACATTATTATGAAACTTTGTTCTTTCCTATCTGACTAAAGACAATGGTGGAAAAAAAAAGGCAAAAGAACAATCAACAAGGGGCTGCTAAGGTGATAAGAGACTTACTTCAGTGGAAATATAACCACTAACAGTACGTAGTAGTTAATGACACAAATTCATAGGAAATAAAATCAGAAAGGCAAATCTTGATAGTAAAAAAACAAAAAGAATTTAAGGTAGTGGCCAGATCAGGTAGTAACGGAGTACAAGTACTCCGCTACTTGTATTTACGTTACAATTTCCAGTATTTTTACTGTACTCCAGTACATTTTTTAGAACCAGTACTTTTACTCTACTCTGATACTTTTTATAAAAGTACTTTTGAGTATTTTAAAAGTACATTTCGAGTACTTTTGAAGCTTCAAGAAAGGGTAAGTGTCGGCATTCCTGATCATAATTTACGGAACAAACACCCGGGCGGGCACAGCCGAAAAACCAAGAGTTGAAAGTTGAGATCAAAGAACAGTCTGTCGCGTCAAAGATCAGCCACTCTCGTGAATGGGATCACAAGCGTTGTAAAACTCCATGAAATGGTACAATGTTTGCCCTGACGAGATCACACTGAGGTGTGAACTGACTGATGAGTTTCTTTTCCCCAAACATCGCACTCGCATCTGAGCTCGCCACCTAAACTTACATCACTCGAGTTAGAGTAGGCGTTGCCTAGGGCTATACATTCTTATACTATCTCTGACCGTCAAGGCCTAGGGGCAACACCTACTGTATTACAGTACTGTGTAATACAGTAGGCGTTGCCTAGGGCCTACAAGTTCGCTCCAGGCAGGATCGCATCGAACTGTGAACTCTTCCCTGACAATTGAAGGCAGTTTTTCTCTATTCCTGAAATTGCGAGACAGCCTGAATTTTTATCGGTATGATCACAACGTAATAGTGCGCAACGACAAAGGCGGGGGGACTCAATCAGAGATCAGATGGAAAGCAAAAATTTTTTTTACAGGTAAAGGAGAGGGGCAACTGGATAAACGTAGATCAAGATCTGGAGACTCACGATAGGCTAATGAGTGTATATATGGCATGCCTCATGCCACCATGCCACTGTGATTGATCATCAAGTTTGACCACTCTTTGCTCGCCATATGTCATAAACCCACCCAGGGGTCACGTCAGTTCATGGGTCACTGTAGATTCTTCCTTGGCTTCGTCGGCTAAGATTCTGTATTTTCCTTGCTCCCGAGCCCTGGGATCTTAGGCAGAGACTACTGTAGCAGAGAATCTTTGGTTACACTACACTTACTAGACTCTATGAAACTTCATGTGATTTGGTTTGCCGTGGGCGCTGTGGACTATACAGTGTGACCAAAATCTGTCTTACCACTATAATCAATTGAAATTGAAACTGAGTTCTCAATGTATATCTAACAATTTTTTAGGCTACTAAAATCTCTTTTTTAAAAACTTTTTCTTGTTGTGGTTTTTGCTTAAGGCTACATTGATCCCTTGAGGATTTGTTAATGAAGAATTCAATGCTGTAGAACTTTCCGACCTTCATTTCTTTGCTGGCCATTTTCATCAATTTTATGTTTTCTTAAGGGCAACTTTGTCTCTACATTTTCCAATTTGGATACTTTTCCTTTAGAACTTTCCGACCTCTTGGACTGACTTACATTTGATCACATTGTCTTGCTCAAACAAGTTCTATTCATAATATCCCTTACTCACTAGTTTCGTCTGTTTGTTTGGGTTTTTTTCAATTTCACGGACCACTTCCACATACGTTCAGTGTGTACATTCAAATGCTTTGTATGCTGTTTACATTTTTAGTAATAAATGGCCTAATTTGTCAAATATATTGGAACTGTCATTCAATATGATGTTTTGCATTAGCACTGAAGTGTTGTAGCATATAAGCAGAAAGTACTCAAAATGTACTCATAAGTACTTTAAAAAAAAAGTACTTGTACTCAAGTACATTTTACAGGAAAGTACTTTTACTGTACTTAAGTACATTTTTAGATTGTACTTAAATTTGTACTTAAGTACCTTTTTAAAAGTTCTTTAACAGTTCTGGTAGTGGCGTTACCATTTAAAAAGACAAAGAATGAACTCACCACTTTCATGGCATTGCGGAAGAAGAGAGCTGAAAAAAAAAGAGAAAGTTGGAACGTGAGACTCATACCAACAAAGGAATGATGTGAAAGAGGTGATGTATCCTCTGTAAGACTCCTTTTCCTTGTACATAACAGGTTGAATGCTGATTTGTTTTGGTTGCAAACTTGATCTACGTGAATATGTGCCAGTGTCTTTTCTATCTCTTTCTCTATTTTTATTAGAATAACACAAACATGTGAGAATATTATTGCTTCTTAATTTACGACTTTCAATTGAATAAACATGATAAAATAAGATCTTATGTTTCCAAGATTTGACTATTGAAGGTTCTTGTAAGTTGAATATTGCTATGCTTCTGTTGCAAACTTAGACCGAACACACTATGCAAAAGTGTCATTTCTATTTTTATCTTGGTTTTTATTCAAACAATATAAACATATGAGAATATATGTGCTTGTTGCCTTACTACATTTAATAACATAAACATAATATTACTGGACTTTACGCTGCTCCTCATGCCTTGAAGTGATATATCCATGACACACAGAGTTATGAATTTATATTTTGTAATTAAGGTAAAACATCAAAGAAAGACCTTTGGGCTCCAGCTTCAATAACTTGAAAAAGAAAAGTAAGGGTACAATCATATAATAAAAAAACTACTGTGATGTACAACATAACATCTGTCCCGATAACAAACAAAACTTAGAAACTAATTGTGAAAAGACTGTGCTTGAGAATATTGCTGATGAGCAGTAATTGTGAAGAAATTATATGATGTGAAAAATACTTTCTTTTCAAGTTGTCATTACTAAGACACTTAATCATGCTTTGTAGTACAACATACAATTGGAGTCAGGAGAGAGAGAGGGAAAGATATATATATAT